AACAACAACAAAAAAAAAACCAGAAATAGAAACAGAAACAGAGCAATACAAAAAACAGAGCACAACAACAAAAGCGAATGTATCCGACTGTATCGGCCCGTATCGGCCCATGTATCGGATTCAAGCTGCTACGTATCGGGACTCAGACGTTACGGGCGCGAAATTCATTCCTACCGGTATATCGGTAAGTATCCGACTCGGCACTGCAATTTTCCGGTACGAACCGGCTGATAATTTTTCGGTACGAACCGGCCGGTACAGCACATACCGGCCGATATTTAGAACCTTGGATAAAGTGAAAGGAAACACATATTTTCAACATTTCCCACTTGACAAAGTGAAAGCAGCTCATCAAAGTGTAAATTACAATATGTTATTCAAACGCAGTAATGATGGACAGCACGTGAAATTTCCATCTTTTATATTCTTCTCTTTGTCTTCAACCAACCCTACACTAATTCAAACCAGTTTGTTTTTGGTACACTTTTTATAATTTAATTTTTCTTTTTAGTTTTCAATTAAGAAACAAACAGAAAGAAAATAAAATTGACAAAATAACACGTTCACAGCAAGTACAGAGAGAGGTGTAAAAAAATTTAGGGTTAATTATATTTATCCCCTTAATTATTATTAAATATTATTTTACTTTTTCAATTTTAAAATCATATACTTAGGATTAGTTCACATTAGTTGACCCATGCAATACACGTGCTATTTTTTTATGAAAATTTTTGATGATACGATGTATGTTATAAAAGAACAACTTTAATTTTAATTTTAATTTAAAATTAAACTTAAAGTGTGATTTTAATTGTTTATTTTGATAATATTAGCGCTATCGTTCTATAAAAGTGTTACTTGAATACTTCTATATATTAATTTTACTTAATTTATTTGTGTATTTTGATAATTTTAATTTTATCATATAGAAAAGTGTAATTATCATATAATCATTTTGTATGATATATATCAAATTATAAGATAGTAAAATAAATACTTATTTTGATATTAAAAATAATAGTTAAATTAGAAGAATGATTAGTAACATAAAATTAAAAATAATTCTAACAATTTAATTTTCTTTTATATTCATTTGAAAAATAAAAATATGTAGAAATAGAAACTACATAAAATTTATTTAAAAAAATTAAATATAAGTATGTTGTAATTGGATTATCATATAATGATTTTGCATGATATATATTAAATTCAAAGATTGTAAAATAAACACTTTTAATTAAATTAAAATATCAACTACAAGAAAGAAATTTAATAACAACTAACCAATAAAAAATCTCATAATAATATCTAAACCCAAAAAGAAAAAATAAATAAAAACATCTAAACGATAAATACATCATAGTGTGTGAAGTGATTAATCATTTGTAATATGGTGCCAAAATATATAATTACTGTTCAGCAATTAAAAAAGTAATCAAAGTAGTAAATTCAAATTTTAGAGATTTTACGAGACTATCATTGTTGCGTAGGTTTTTCTTTCCATGAGTTGTCATTATATAAAATAATGTAAAAAATATTTTGTACAATCAAAATATAACCCATATAGAATTTGTAGTTAGATTTCATATTAAACTCAAATTGAGTTTGTGAAAGAAGTATTTATGAAATGGAGTCAATATAAAATTGGTATTGAGTTTGTGGATTATCTGAATTTGCGATAGAAAATATATGAAAAAGAAGTATTTCTCTCGAATACAATTTATATAAAATAGGTAAAGTTAGTATAATTTAAATTGGGTTTAGGTTTGGGTAGAACTCTATATGTAAATGGAAAATGCTTATTGATGTGACTTTTTTAGAAGAAAAAAAAAAGTAAGCCATTGAAATATGCCATCTAAGAAAGGGAAAAATACTACGTATATACATATATGATAAAAGTGGGTATCATACAGTTATTCAGTAAAGTGGGTTGCATACATGTATTAATTAGTTTAAACATGTAATTGAGTTAGAATAGTAGAGTTCAAAATCTACTGAAAAATCAAATATGCCTGATACAAACCACACCCCCAAAATAGCCAAAACAGCATAAAAATATAAATATACACCACCCAAAATACATTTACATATCAAAGCTTGAAAGAGAAACACACCACCACAGAGTAAACAAATTGACAGACCAAACCTGCCCCAACACCTCCCTCATTTTATCAGTAGCCCTTAGCCCAGCAGCAGAACAACCACCATCTACATTGTGTAATCTGTTGAGCAAGAAATCCAATCTACACCTTCCCAAACAACAACCTGGAGGACAGAGCAGAGCAGAAAGAAGCTCAAACAGCAGCAGAGTAGTTCCAGCCAGATCAGTTAATAACCTCAGCAACCAGAGGAGTCCCCCCTCCCACCCAACAGCCTGGAGGACAGAGCAAAAAGATGCTCAAACAGCAGCAGAGGAATTCTACCCAGATCAGTCAATAACCTCAGCACCTAGAAGAGTTCACCCAGATCAGACTCTAACCATCACACCCTGATGATAATTCATTTCACAGTCATACCAGCCATAACATTTGCCTCCTTAGGCACTTCTACCTGAAATACACATTCTCACTTGCCTAAGATTAATCACAAAGTCCTGAATTGAAAAACAATGATCTAGATAAAACGGTCTCAGCCATAGTGCAACCCTGACTTTTATCACTTCACATAACGTAGCCACATCAGGGATGGCAGCATTGAACACCACATCATTTCGAAGCTTCCACAGGGACCACAACACAACCAGAGGTATGCCCCTCCAAATCTTCCTCTTCTTACTACTGAGCACCTCCCCATCTCACCAAAGAAGCATCCCTTCAACAGTTCCAGGTAAGGCCCCTTGGACATTCCACCAATTCAGCATTTCAACCTACACAGATGATGCAAAACAGCAGGACACCATGACATGATTCACAGTTTTACACTCAGCTTTGCAAAATACACATAGAGTTGAAACATTACCTTGAAGCACACCAATTCTTTAGAGGAAAACTAAAGTCTTAAGTCTACCCAGCCATGCAAGCCATCCCATAAATTGGACTTTAGGAGGCAAGTATTTCACCCAAACTAGTTTACAGATACTCAATTGAGAGCTAGCACTCACAGAAGCCCCATGGTATAGAGAAGACACTAAGAATACCTCTGTTGTTGCTGCTAACTACATTGGTTTATCAATCTGATTGACCCCCAAAGCAGGTGCTGACCCCAGGAGATTCTTGAGCCTTGTGACCTCACAATCTTTCCAATCATATAGCCTTCTTCGAATCTTGAGCCTTGTGACCTTACAATCTTCCCAATCATATAACCTTCTTCTAAAATTGAACACCCAGTTCCCTGCAATTTCCTTTCTTTCATACATTGTTCTTAGTGACACCTCTTTATCCAGAATTAAAGAAAATAGGCCAGGATATTCCTCTCTGAGGCAGGTGGCATGACACCACTTATCCAACCAAAACCTTACTCTACTCCCATCCCCAACCTTTAGCTGCCAATTATTCATGTAGAACTGTAGGAGTGGGCTATCAGACAAAGCAAAATTGATTACACCTTTCCAAACAATAGATGCCCTAGGCCTTGTACAAGAAGTGGGTACCCAATCACTAAAGGCGACCTTGTACTTACTACAAATAACCTTCCTCCACAGTGCATCTTTTTCAAACCCAAACCTCCACCACCATTTGATTAGTAGACAGTCATTCATCATTTTAACTCTTCTCAGCCCCAGTCCCCCTTGATCCACACTTTTGGACAAATCAGCCCATTTGACCAAGTGAACCCTACTCCTTACTTCAGACCCCCTTAGAGGAATGCAGCCTGCAGCCTTTCAATCACTTTAGCTACCCCTTGAGGTACTCTAAACAAGGATAAATAGTAAACTGGCCGTAATGCAGTTAAGGTTAACCTTCCAGCATACGATAAGAGCTTTCTTTTCCAGCTCGCTAGCTTGCTACGAATCTTATCCAGCACTCATTTCCAAGTTTTCTTTCTATTAGGATTAGCCCCAAGAGGCAGGCCTAAATATTGCATAGGCAACTTCTTGATCTTGCAATTCAAAATAGATGCAAATGAAGCTAAAGATTCATCTGACACACCCACTCCACAAACCTGACTCTTATGATAATTAATCCTCAGACTTGACGTCACCTCAAAACGCCTCAAGATCCTCTTCAAGCTTCTAATCTCCTCCTATTTAGCTTCACAAAAAAGGATAGAATCGTCTGCGAATTGCAGATGAGACAGCCTCACAGTATCTACACCAATTTGCACCCCTTTAATAATTCCCAGCTGATATGCTCTTGTCAGTAACATATTGAGACCTTCAGCAACCAAGTTGAACAGGAAAGGGGACAGAGAGTCACCTTGTCGCAGGCCCCTCTGAGGACTAAACTCATCAGTTGGCGACCCATTTACCAGTACTGAAATTCTAGCCGTATATGTAAAATTAAATTTCTTATGGGTAGACCATTGTAGGTACAAAAATGCTACATATCCCAAAAGTACTACCAAAATTTCCACCAAATGTCTCATATGGGTGTGGGACCCATGTGAGACATTTGGTAGAAATTTTGATAGAATTTTTGGGGTCTTTAGCATTACTCTTGTAAGTACTCACACTACAAGAAAATGCACCTACGGCGACCAAATTGGCGACTAAAAAAATTTTTGGTCGCTGAAAGTATAGGTTTTGGCGACTAAAACAACATTAGTAGCCAAAAGTAAAATTTTTTGGCGACTAAAAAAATTTAGTAGCCAAAAGCATAGGTTTTGGCGACAAAAAATCAGTTTGGTCGCCAATTATCGACTTTTGGCTACTAAAACTAAACTTTGGTCGCCAAAAATGTACTTTCAGTGACAAAAAAAATTTTAGTCGCCGAATATTGACTTTTCGCTACTAAAATATTTAGTAGCCGAATGGAAAATAAAAAAATGATTTTTCTCTTTGACGACCAAACTTTTAGTCGCCAAAAACGTACTTTCAGCGACAAAAAAAAGTTTAGTCACCAAAACTAAAAAATTTGGAGGGATTAATTTCAAAATTTGGAGAGATTTTATAAAACTAATCGGCGACTAATTGACATTTAGTCGCTAATGGTCTTTTGGCTAAATTACACTTTTGGCTACAAAAAGTTTAGTCGGTATTGATTATTATTTGGCGACCAAATATAAGTTTAGTCGCTAAAGGTAGAAACAATATTTTTGTTTTAGAGGGAACTGAATATTGGCATCCGTGCCCCTCTTTCACACAGACACAAGATCTCTGTTCTCTCTCATACACACACACACAGAGCTCTCTCACATACAGAACAGTCACCACCAAACCTCACCCCCGGCTCACCACCCCACCGCTGCACGTCGCACAGCCACCGCCGCAAATCACCACCTAGGTTCGCTCTCTTGGTTTGTCACTCTCTGTCTCGCTCTCTGTCTCACTCCGACTCTCTCTCTCAAACCCTTCTTCTATTTCCCCAAATGTGAAATCTTGCTCTAGGGTTATTTATTCTACCCATTCAGTTTAATTTTGTCTTCATTTATGAAATGGGTTTGTTTGAAATGGTTTCATTACTAGAGTTTTATGGGTTTAATATTGTAAATGGATTTGATTTTAGGGTTTGATACCTTTCCCCCTATTTTTCCTTTCTATCTCATTATTTTAAAATCTCTAATCCATTGTATGTAATCTCATGTATTGAAAAATAGAAATTATCAAATAAAAGTGTTATCAGTGGCATTGTATGAGGATGAGATCTGATCCCTTTTTGAAGGTTCTAGGGAAGCAGCTGCTTTGAACTTGCAAAGAGTTTGGTTGAGGGAGAACCGGAGGTTGTGGTAGGATAGGTTGCTATTTGTAAGGTGTATGGCTAGTAGCTATTTGTTGTTTGGGAAGGGACTTATCTATTCCATAGTTTAAAAGAATAGAACCTTCTTGCTGATACTTCTTCCTGGATTTCATCAATTGCAATTACTTCTATTCATGTTCCAAAAGACAAGATTGCTTAGACCAAATGAGACAAATACTTATTATATCTATGCTCTTCCTTTTAAGTAAATCATTGGAAACACTAAAACTCCATTGGATCATAGATTTTTTTAAACTAGGGAATAGATAAGTCAGTGAATTGATACAAAACAGTGAATTGATACAAAATCCTATAGCCTACAGGATACTAAAAACAATGAATTGATACCTTTCCTCCTGTTTTTTGTATCTCCTACAGCCCTCCAGGATACTAAAAACAGTGAATTGATACAAAATCCAATACCCAATTTGACAACTATAATTACAAATTAATTCAGTATTTGTTTTGATTCGTTTGGTTGTTTTGAACTCTGTGAACTATGAAGCTAAAAAAGTTAACGATTTATACGCAAACTAAGGTAAGCTTAATTGCGACAAGAATTTGAGACCTGGAAAACCTCAAGTCGTCTTTTTTCTTGCATGATACATTAGTTTGCCAGACTAAAAATTAAAAAAATTATTAATTTATATTACATTTTCCTATTATTAAATGTTAAGTTATGGCACTTGTCCATTAATATGTAATTCCCAATAGTGTTGTCATTAACATTGTGATGTTGATATTGCTTCTCTAAAATGTTAACTCTTCATTATTACAACCTTCTTTGCTTGATTATTTTGGGCAAAACAAAAAATATATACATATATATATATATTTTTGGCAAAAATATTTAGGCCATGGTGATATGTAATTTTTTATAAGAGTTTATGTCAATGTGTTTAGTGCAACTTACTACTTGAGCTTATGAGAAAAATGACAAACTAATTATTGTGAATGAAATTGTTATGTAGAACGAAAAAACTCAAATTTAAACTTTTAATTGCCATAAATTCCTGTAGGTTTCAGTTTAGTTTGTTTGTTAACTGCAGCCCTTTTAATTGCCCTAAACATAACTTTTGGTATTAATTCATAGAATGGATGCTCGTCTACCAGTCAATCTATTGCTATATTTATATTATTTAATCTGAGTTTGGGTGTCTTTGTTTCTCTCTCTGTAATTTGGTACCTGATAGTTGACAATCAATCACTTTGATTGCGGTAAATTTGTAACACACGCACACTTTGTTACTCTCCTTGTCTTTTAATGTTTGAACACTTTCACAGGTGCTATATGTCCTCTAGAAGTGCCTCTATAGGCACCAAACTGATATTCTATAACAACTTTTCTAAATTCAATCTATAGTTAGGGAATTTTAACCTAAAAAAACAAAGATAGAAAAAAACTAGCTTGGATGAAACTCTTTTCAAAAAAACTAACTTGGGTTTTATTACTTCGATGAGTTCATGGACGATCCTACAACTATAGGAAATCCAGTTGCAATGCAGAGATTCTATGCAGAGACAGACATTTTCCTGTTCTGGTCTTACGGCAATTCTGCAGATATTATGGGAACAAGGGTCACAGAGCCTGCAATGGATGCAGTTAAAAATATGGGGGGAAATAGTTGAGAAAGTAGTTTTACAACGGTGATTCAAGTTCTTTCCTCATGTAAACAGCCAAGGTAAGCTCAATAAGTTAATGTCACACCATTTACCATTGCAATCTTATTGATTACTAATTTTCTTTAATTTGGATACAGATATGAAAGAAGGGTTCTATGACAAAGTGGAGAGTCAACTTCATGGTCATGTCTCGTTAGAATTTAAGGCATAAAACTTGATTTAAACTAATAACACAGCTGTGTTCAAGACATGTCTAGTTATCATTGCATATGATTCATTTTCTCTAGTTATCATCTGCTTGAGGTATAGGCTCTCTTCTAATTCTTCTTTCTTTTTATCACATTTTTTATTTTATAATCCTTTATTGGCCCTTTCATATGTTTAGGAGGAAACATATTCTTATGATGTTAAACATATTTAAACTTTTTAGTTGTATCTATATGGAGCCGTGTTTGTTTTCAAGTATACTACCGTATAATATAATTGGCTTTTGCATAGAGAGGGAAAAAGGAAAACAAAATCATATGAGCAACCACAACAACTATCCTTTAACAATAATGACTAACAACAATCAAAACAAATATGAGCAACCACATCAGAGTACTTGCATTGCAACTTGATTTTAAAACCAAAACAAATATGAACTTTTATCTGTTAATCCCTTCTTTGGGATTTTTATCTTTGGAACTCTAAATCCTAACAACTTCCAATTTATTTATGAATACTAGGAACTTAAAGTAAGAGATTTAGGACCAGTGGCTTTTTGCTCAAATTTCTTGTCCAACATATAAATATAGTAATTAATGATTTTCTATTATCTTCCTATGATATGTATATATTTGTTTGTACATAAAAGTGAATATATGCGAAAGGATGTTTACTTTTCTGCCTTGTTCCACATTAGTGTTAAAAAACTAGCAATAAAAGTTGTCTTGACATGGATGAACAATGCAAGAGGAGGGTTTACCTTTTCTTTGGACTGGTATATATGGGTTCACAGATGACCATGTTATGGAGGAGCTTGGATTGGGTCCAAATGGTGGCCTTTAATTGCATGGAGTATCCTTTGCATTTGGGTTTTAATGTTTTTGTAAATCATTTTCTTCTCTTATCTTAGATTGTGTTGTCACTTAATTATTTCTAGTAAGGCTAGAGCCGGTTATGTCAAGGAGCATAAAGACATTGATTGACATCCCTTGTGAGGGATAAATTTATTTTATTGTGTAGAGAGTTTTTTTTTTTTTTTTTTTTTTTTTTTGTTAATTTGATATTAGATTCCAAGTTTGTATGGCCTTAAAGATATCTTGATTTATTCCCTCTGGATCCGATATTCTTCCAAAATGAATGTCATTCGAGTTTGGAGGACCAAACTCTTTAAGAGGGGAAGACTGTAACAATCCCGACTTGTGATTAACCTATAATCCATAATTAATGATGCTTAATAAGTAATTGAGATGAAATTTTGAGTTAATTGTACGTGCTATGTGTTAATTGTGGTTATATCTGTCGGTCGTAGAAATATCCGTTTGCATTTCTGTTTCATTATGCGAATTGAAAGCCTTATTGACGTCCAAATGCAAAAATGACCTTGTTTATGTGTTATTTAGAATTTTAATAATTTTATGGTAGGATTAGTCAGAATTCGATTCGGAATCAAATAAATATAACAAGATAATTTCAATTGATTATCCTTAACTCAAGTTAATTAAGCTCCACTAATTGAGCCTATATAAGGCCAATTGATTCTAGAAGCCTTAGATACACTTCATTGTTATCATCTTCTCAACAAAAATGTGAAGTGAGGGAGAGACAAAGCGGACTTTGAGATCAAAGCTTGGGGAGAAAACATTGTTGGAAATTGAAGGAAATTGGAAGAATTGTGCAAGAAATTCCTAGAATTCAAAGAATTGAGAACTCTAGGTAAGAACCATGTCCTTAAATTTTGTATTCAAGACATTAGTGTAAGAATTCAAGAGATTAAAGTGGTTAACATGAGAATTGAGCTGAGATTACAGAATTTGGGATTAGTTCATGCATGCATGCATAATTCATGAAGTTTTGAGTTCAATTTCCGAACATTCACATATGCATGAAGCTTTACTTGCATACTTTGAAGAATCCAACTTGGTTTCACTTGTATTCCTTCAATTGTTCATGTTTTAGAAGCCTTGAATTTACATCATTACATGCATGTTATATACGTATACATTTCAAGTTTGGTTTTGCACAATTGGCATGCTTTTGGGCTTGATTTTGGTGAAGCGGCTTTCAATTCATGAAGTCCTATGAGTTTGCAAGAGTTTTCTCAAGTTTTGGCCCAAAAGAGTGTTTTGATACATTGAAATCAAGCTTTGGAGCTGGAAGTGCAATATGGAAATTCTAGAATTTGCACTCTTCGCTCGAGTGTAGGAAGTTGTGCTCTAGCGAAGAATGCGTGCTCCCAATACTTTTGCAGAGTTCGGGGGTTGGCTCGAGCGGAACAAGGTGCACTTGAGCGACCACTCTTATTTTTTATCTTAGCTCGAGCGTAGAAAGTTGAGCTCGAGCATAAAATTTGAGCTCCCAGAAGTTTTGCATAGTTTTGCAGACCACTCGAGCGTCCAAAGATGTGCTCGTGCAAACTGCCCTATTTTTGAAAATTTGACTAAGTATTTCAAATTATATTTTGGCATCCTCATTGCATCTTAGGCATTCCTAAGTCTTAATTAAGACATAATAATGAGGATAAAGATTAGAAACACACCAAGACAGAAAAGAAATGAGTTAAGTGTTTTCCGAAAGTGTGTTTTAATGTGTATCTGCTATGTGTTTGTGTGGGTCACGCGCCATAAACTGTCCGATCTGTCTGCTTTGTCCATTCTGCTACTGGAGTTATCTGTGAGTAATAACTCTGTAAAGTTATGTGTGACTTTAATTATTTCCTGATGATATGAAATGAGCAGTGTTCTCAAATGCTATGTTTTATATGAATGAATGATGCTCCAAGTTTCTAAAACGTATTCGTGGCATCCTTAGCATAATCTGATATTTTACATCCCTTTATGGGTCATCAGGTCCCTTTATGGGGTCATCAGCTATGAACGTCTCTGTGTACATGAGTCATCAGAACTACGTCCCATATAATCATGGGTCATCTGATTTGATAACGCTAAGGGATGTACCACATATGATCATATGTGAATTCTGAGTATGAATATGAATATGAATATGAATTTGTTTCTGACCTGAATTCTGATTTCTAAATCTGTTATGGACATCATTCATTAAAATCCTTTACTTTGTTATTATTCACTAGGCTCCAACTCATTGTATTATTTACGTATGTAGGCGATCAGGCGTGTGACCAGGCTCAATGATGATTGACTGGAGGTTTGTTTGTGTCCGCCAACCTGTGCACCTCTCGAGGAGGTTTTTGGAATGCTTCATGTAGTCGAATTTTGTGAACCAAGTTTATGACTTTTATATTAATTTTGTTTTTAACTGAACAAGTTTTTGTACAATCTGTATATGTGGGATATGGTGACATAAGACCAATGTACTTATGGCGTCACGCATATGCATTTACAAGTTTTAAATTTTTTTGTCTCATGTATGTCTGCACAGCTCTATGGACGTTGTATGCTTGTATTTGCTTCCGCTAGCCCCTTAATTTGTTTAATTGTTTAGAGGCCTTCGTTAATCCCAGGATTAATGGCCGGTTATGACGTTAAACCTATAGGGGTGGGTTTGGGTTGTGGTAATATGGCCATAAACATGAACTAAACTAAGCCATATCTATGAAACCACTAAAAAAATCCAATTTTGCAGAAAAAAGCATATAACTTGCATTATTTAAAAATGCATCAAGAACATGCAACATGCTACAAAGAATAAGAGAACTTACCTGGATTCCATTGAAAGAGTCAAACAAGCAAAACATGGTTTAAATAAAGTACATATGCCTTAACATGCTACTAAACATATAAAGATCCATCCTAAGCCCGATGTAAGGCTATTAATCATAACAAACCTGGGTTTTTACGGCACCAAATACAAGCCGTAAATACGATTCTATGACGTGTGATGTAAAGCCATGTTACGACTAGTCATGGAAAGTCATTAAGTTCAATGACATGCCGTAGTACGTCATTAAAAACCCTTTAATAGTGGATCTTGTAAGTCGTGTTTGATTTCTTTACAGTTACTCTTGCACGTTGTTAAAATCCCTTTAACAGCGGATCTTGTTCGTCGTGTTTGATTTTTTTACAACCACTTTTGCACACCATTAATTACTGAGAAAAATGACAACTTTCATTATTTGTCGTAAAATATGTAATACAACAGCCAATTATGCTTGCCATAGAATATACAATATATATATATATATATATATATATATTTTAATTCAACAGGTTTTGACTTGTTCTATATAATCTAGCAAACATTACAAACAAGCTTCACAAAGCATCAATCAACCATTAAAATATTGTTTCAAGCATAAAAAAAGCTATATTCATAAGTATTGAATATTCAACAATTGTCACACATTCCAAACATCCAAAAATTATCATTAAGTTCAAAATCATCTAAAAAGAACTATCCTTAAGTTCTAAATTATCCAAAAAGTTCTAAACCATCCAAAAACTATATCATATATAGGTTTCTAAACAAAATCCAAAACTATCCGAAGATTAAAGAAATCCATTTATCAAAGTCATATAAAAAACTATCCATAGATGTTAAGATTTCTGCTCAAAGTCAAAGCTGATGAAGTGGGTTGGCCAAGCAACAATGCTTTCAATAGCATCCTCAAGCACAAACATCCCACGATTGGGGAGAAATAATGGCGCATTGACTTTGATATAGTTAATCCATACTTTCCAACACCTAGGGCCAAGAAGCACATGATGCACCAATTGTTTAGAATCTATTGATGCAATTGTACCTTCCTCAACAACCACCTTTGTTCCATCCCAATTCAACAATTTGTATTTGGCATTGTTCAAGTTGGATCCACCGTTCCCTATTTCATTTTTATCAAGTTGGATCCACCATTCCGTATTTCATTTTCATCATGTAACTACCATGAAAGCAATACATAAAATAAGCTAACGAGTTGAAGACAAAATTAATGTAATTAATAATGCCATACAAAATTTACCCAAATATCTTCATTTCCATTACCGTCATTGTTTTCGTCACTCTGCAAAAATTGTAATCCAAAATCAATTTGTATTTGTTTACTCATATTTAGTAGATGACGTGGGATCCATATGCAAAATTGACAAAAGCTCCTGAGTAGAAAAACAAGCAAACAAAAGCACAAATACGACAAAAATTGAGGTAAGTAATAATGTCATACAAAATTTACCCAAATATTTTTTTGTGAGTGCATCCTATGTTCTCCACCTCCATTGTTTTCTTCACCCTAAAAAAATTGTAATACAATAGCAAGAAGTATTTGTTTACTCAAATTTAGTAGGTGATGGGATCCATATGCAAAATTAACAAAAGCTTGAGTAGAAAAGCAAGCAAGCAAAAACACAAGTATGAGAAATGTGCAAGTTTACCTGTGTTTCTCCATGAGAATGTTTCTTGCCATTTGCCTCTTTGCTTGGCTCCTACAAGTTTTAATTATTATTATTTTTTTTTAAACTTTGTGAAATATCTTTATATCCAAAATCAAGACAAGGCAACATATTGCAAAAGCTTGAAAGAATAAGTAAAAGCATTACATGTATGTATGAATAATGTAGGTGTGATATCCCTGTTCCGCTATATGTTAATTAGTCCTTAATATGAGCATGATTATGTGTTTAATATGATTTTGTGTGCCATTATGTGAAAATATGTGGTTTTGAATTTCTATCTGTTCATCATAGGAATATCTGTTTGATTATCTGCTTTGGAAATTAAATTGAAGGCTTTAACGGCCACTGAAACCAAAATTGATTGCGCCATTGTGATTGGCATAATTTTTAGAGCCTACGATGAAGTTTAATTGAAAAATTGATTCAGACCAGATTAAGTTGATTAAATTGGAGAATTAGTGCCCAATTATTTATTATTACTATATTGGACTTAGTGGGATTAGTTGTATTGAGTCACTACACCCTCAAATTTCCTCTTTTAGTCTATTTTGGCTGATCATAAACTCAAAGGAAAGAAGAGAGGGCCGGCCATTGAGGGAGAGAGTGTAGGAGATTGAAGTTTTGGTCTTGAGGCTTGGAGATTTTGGAAGATTACTTAAGAATTTGCTATAGATTGGAAGAATTGAGCCTCTAGGTAAGTAAATCCATGAGCTCAATGTGTAATTTTGTGTATTCAAGGTGGATTAATGATCAAGAGTAAGGATTGAAGTGGAATTGAGTTGTTTATGTTGAATTGAAGGTCAATGTATGCATGCATGTATATAATTGTCTTGAATTACATGACTCATGTTAAATCTTGGTTGAACTCCATGTATTTGACCATCTTTTCATCATATGGGGTGAGAATGAGGGTTATATGTCGCATGCATGTACAATCTATGGGAGTAGAAGCTTTGAATGCATGAAGTTGTTATGTTAGTGATGAATTTGGTGGAAAATGAGCCATGCATGGATTTGATTTATGAAATTGAGCTTCAAAATGTTGTAATTTAGTGTTTGTATCATGTTAGCACACATATATATGAAGTTTGAGCCAAAATCATGCATTTGGAGCCTTTGAATTCGAAGTTGAAGCTCAAGAACACATTCTGGATTTTCCAGAAATTTAATGTCCGCTCGAGCGGGGAAACCGCCGCTCGAGCGTGAATTTTGTGCTCCCAGTATTTTTGTGTAGGCATGATGTCCGCTCGAGCGGGGAAGTCCATGCTCGAGCGTGGAGCTATGTAGGATGGACTTCCGCTCGAGCGCCAGAATGCACGCTCGAGCGTAAAAATGATGCATCCAGCACTTTTTGCAGACATGGCGTCTGCTCGAGCGGGGTAATTTCACGCTCGAGCGGGGAGCCACGAAGAGAGGCCTTCCGCTCGAGCGCTAGACTTCAAGCTCGAGCGTAATTTTGATGCTCCCAGTACTTTTGCAGGCCTCAAGGGTCCGCTCGAGCGGGGAAGTCCACGCTCGAGCAGGGACCCTGTTTTCTAAAATTTTGTTTATGCATTATGAGTTCCGTTTTCTATTATCTTTCACTTCTAAGTACTCTTAGGCATACATTGAGCATTGTAATTGAATTAAAGAGATAAGAATAAAGCCTAAAGAGGAAAATGTGAATTTAAGAATGGATCGAATTGTTTGTGACCCTTTTTGTGTTTATGGAATGTGTAGGGTCAAGCTCCAGGGCAAATCCACAAGCCGATCACTATGAGTAATGTCTTAACAAGATATTTGAAATATACTATTGTCCAATTGTTTACTTCTATGCAAGTTTTGTAAGTTCATTAATCTGAATGGTGGACAACGATTGATATGAATGATTGGGCCAAAGGCCGATTGACATGAATGATTGGGCCGAAGGCCGATTGATAAGAATGATTGGGCCAAAGGCCGATTGATGAGAATGACTGGGCCAAAGGCCGATTGATATGAATGATTGGGCCAAAGGCCGATGGAAATGAATGATTGGGCCGAAGGCCGTTTGACATAAATGATTGGGTCAAAGGCCGTCTGCTGTAACTGTTTCAAAGATTGTTTATGTATCTATCTTATTTGATATTATTCATTGGGCTTTTGCTCACGCTCATTCATATACATGTAGGTGAGCCAAGGGCCGTCCAGAAACAGTCCCGGTGAAATTGTGAGAAACAGTCAGAGTTTTGAGGAGTCAACCCAAATGTCTCACGCACGAGACTGTCTTCGCTTTTGTCCTTTGTTCATAAGTTTTTGTTATGTTGGCGAAAGCATTGGACTACTTTTGTATATAAGTCTTGGGTTCGACTGACTTAAACTTGTATGATCCTGTATGCACAATGTTCTATGTTAGCATATATTTTGATGTGAGTTATTAACACATAAATGTTTAGAATGTGATGGTGTGCATATAAGCACAGCTCTATGGACAAAGTTTTAAATTTGCTTCCGTTTGGCCCCTTTACTTTGATGAGTTTTGTTTTTGTGGTTTGAGGCCGTAGGTAATCTCGCGATTATTGGCCGGTTATGGCCTTAACCCATAGGGGCGGGTTCGGGTCGTGACAGTACGTGCTATGATCATTATTAAAAATAAAAAAACCCATTCTACAATAATGAGATACTATTTTATTCTATCATATATTATATTATATGTATATGATTTATTTACTTACACTCTTAATTCTTAATCCATTTCAATTGATATTAATTCTGATAAGTGTATGTAGCCTTATGTGTATGCAAGTATGTTGTGTTATGTGTGAGAATAACAGATGTAAGAGTGGGCTTTTAGTTAGTTAGAATTACTAACTAATCAGTTAGATTAGATGATTCGAATATTTGTAACAGACTATTTAGATTCATTGTGAAAGAGATTGATTTTTTGAAATCTTGTTAAATTCCTATGCACTCAACACATATCAAGTAATTTTTTTTTTTTTAAACTAAATTGACATAAAAG